CTATCACTTCCTTTTGACGGCCGTGATGGTCAAGCGGATTAAGGCGCCCTGTAGTTACCAGTTGCGTTGCTTCTGGGAGTATGGGTTCGAGTCACTTCTGGGGTGTGAGTTTTCATTCGCATATAGTCCTGGGGACCATTCAGGCTTGTTCGCATTTGTGTTCCTCACGTGTGCCCCAAAGAATGAGGTGATTTGGTGAAATGCTATGCCCAAGATTACCATCCGAGTTGCCGTCGGGGAAGTGGCTCAAATAGCCTCGGCTATCACTTCCTTTTGACGGCCGTGATGGTCAAGCGGATTAAGGCACCCTGTAGTTACCAGTTGCGTTGCTTCTGGGAGTATGGGTTCGAGTCACTTCTGGGGTGTGAGTTTTCATTCGCATATAGTCCTGGGGACCATTCAGGCTTGTTCGCATTTGTGTTCCTCACGTGTGCCCCAAAGAATGAGGTGATTTGGTGAAATGCTATGCCCAAGATTACCATCCGAGTTGCCGTCGGGGAAGTGGCTCAAATAGCCTCGGCTATCACTTCCTTTTGACGGCCGTGATGGTCAAGCGGATTAAGGCGCCCTGTAGTTACCAGTTGCGTTGCTTCTGGGAGTATGGGTTCGAGTCACTTCTGGGGTGTGAGTTTTCATTCGCATATAGTCCTGGGGACCATTCAGGCTTGTTCGCATATATATATATATATATATATATATATATATATATATATATATATATATATATATATATATATATATATGTCGTACCTAGTAGCCAGAATGCACTTCTCGGCCTACTATGCAAGGCCCGATTTGCCTAATAAGCCAAGTTTTCATGAATTAATATATTTTCTCTAATTTTTTTCTTATGAAATGATAAAGCTACCCATTTCATTATGTATGAGGTCAATTTTATTTTATTGAAGTTAAAATTAACGTAGATATATGACCGAACCTAACCAACCCTACCTAACCTAACCTAACCTAACCTATCTCTATAGGTTAGGTTAAGTTAGGTAGCCGAAAAAGTTAGGTTAGGTTAGGTTAGGTAGTCGAAAAACAATTAATTCATGAAAACTTGGCTTATTAGGCAAATCGGGCCTTGATTAGTAGGCTGAGAAGTGCGTTCTGGCTACTAGGTACGACATATATATATATATATATATATATATATATATATATATATATATATATATATATATATATATATGTGTGTGTGTGTGTGTGTGATTCTAGCAATATTTCTAGATTCTAGATTCTCAATATTTCATATATTTTTCTTCTCTGTCAAGAGAAGTTGAAAAATTAACTCTATAAAGTTCATTTTCCCACTACTGTAAATTTATGGTCTAGGGCCTAGGGAAGCGATTCGCAAGGCACTCCTTACATTTTCAAAGACAAATTTTCCATACTCTGCCCATGCTTATATTCACTTGGGGTGAGGTGATACAGGACATGATTGAGATGAACAAGCGGATCAATGGTGCAATGGGTATTATAGGCCATTGATCCGCTTGTTAATCACAAACCATGTCCTGTATCACCACACCCCAAGCAAATATAAGCATTGGCAGAGTATGGAAAATTTCACCATTTGGTCACCATTTGGTCCGGGAGCCATCTCCCGTCACGCAGGGTGCAGTTGCGCCTCCACAGATCTCCAGTATCTTCTTTTGATACTGGTAATGGCTCAAAAGGGCCACCACTTACGGGCTATTCATGCCCGTGCCACCTCTTGGGTGGCTTAATCTTCATCAATCAATCAATCAATGGAAAATTTGTCTTTGAAAATGTAAGGAGTGCCTTGCGAATCGCTTCCCTAGGCGCTAGACCATCAAAATATAATGTAAAAGTGAACTTTGGAGAGTTAATTTTTCAACTTCCCTCGACAGTGAAGAAAAACATGGTACATCCCATGACTATGCAGACACTATTAATACCCTCACCCCTGAAGGATTCGAACTCAGGCAGCCGGGGCTCTATGCACCTTGGCCTGTCCAGTATTTTAACTGCCGGGCCATGTTGACTGTTCAAAAGAACTGGAAGATGTCAGACCTTTAACCCGCTTTCCATAGCTCTTTTTGACCAATTTGGGGACAGGTATTTCACCAAATTCCTTCATCATGCTTGGGCAACGTGAGTAACATTTGTGCGAAAAAGCTTGAATGGTCCCCAAGGTAATATGCAGCAGAAAACTCCTCACACCTGAAGGATTCGAATCCAGACAGTTCAAACCCAAAAAAATATTGACATATATTTCATCAAATCACTTCATCATGCAGGGGCCACATGAGTAACATTTGTGCGAACAAGCTTGAATGGTCCCTATTATGTTACTCACGTGGCCCCAGCATGATGGGGCCACTATTCATGGTAGCGGAGCACTAACTTGGGACAGAAGAGCTTCTAATAGCAACAGGTGGACTCATTGTACAATAAAATCTATCAATACATTCGAAATCACAAATACAATCATTGAGAGAGGTGTCGACGAAATACATGTAGACTTCGTTATGCAAGCCCCTTGGGAATCCCTGTCAGCAGACTTCAAGATTATGCTAGTCAAGGAAAAGAATCTGACTAATCCCCATCTGCTGCTTCACATACTTCACAGTTGGATCTGTAGACCAACAGAGACAAGAATCTGGAGTTGATGTTTGGCAGAAAATTTATGTTGTTTGAGATTCTCAAATGTGTCTTCAGTCTTTTAGTCAGAGATGCTAGCTATTCAAAAGACTTTAGAGTATGATTTTGCTGAACAGCGACATTGTATCATACAGGCAAATTCGAGAACTGCCACTGAAACCTTGCAACAAGAACACTTAACAGATGGAATGCATTAGGCAGAGATATGGTCGAGGCAGATTCCATACACAGCTTTAAATGTAGATATGATGGAGCCCAGTAGGCTCAGGAATTTGTACACCAGTTGATTGACAGTTCAGAGGTGGGACCAAAGAGCCAAAGCTAAACCCTCGCAAGCACAAATAGGTGAGTACTTACTTGACAATATCCATCTGACCACAAATGTTATAGCATTAATTCAAACACTCACAAGTCAAGGTCGACAGGTAACTATGAACTGGAAGTGAAGTCATGTAGGGATAATAGGAAATGACACTGCAGTTGAAGCTTCAATATCAGGATCTGCTGGTCGGTAAAAGAATTCAACTAACTTTAAAGCACTTATTTGACTCATTGTTCTATATGGGAGCAATAAAAAAAACAGAAGGCCACTTGCATCACACTAGGCTTGAATACCCATGTTCATAGGAAATAGGTTTACAGGTTCCAGAAGATGAGAGGAAATTTCAGTACTGGGGAGAAATGCCAGATAGACCACTGGAACATTATCTAAAACAGTGCAGAGTTACAAACGAAATAAGTTTTCAACTGAGATTTAATAGCTCAGAAGTTGTTAAACACATTGGGAAGTCATCGTTATAAGACTTACTTACATAATATATATATATATATATATATATATATATATATATATATATATATATATATGTCGTACCTAGTAGCCAGAACTCACTTCTCAGCCTACTATGCAAGGCCCGATTTGCCTAATAAGCCTAGTTTTCATGAATTAATGTTTTTTCGACAACCTAACCTACCTAACCTAACCTAACCTAAAGTTTTCGGCTACCTAACCTAACCTAACCTATAAAGATAGGTTAGGTTAGGTTAGGTAGGGTTGGTTAGGTTCGGTCATATATCTACGTTAATTTTAACTCCAATAAAAAAAATTGACCTCATACATAATGAAATGGGTAGCTTTATCATTTCATAAGAAAAAAAATTGAGAAAATATATTAATTCAGTAAAACTTGGCTTATTAGGCAAATCGGGCCTCGCATAGTAGGCTGAGAAGTGAGTTCTGGCTACTAGGTACGACATATATATATATATATATATATATATATATATATATATATATATATATATATATATATATATATATATATATATATATATATATATAAACCTGCCCGAAACGCTTTGCGTAATAGTGGTTTTAGGCATTGTATGTACTAGCTCTATCTATAAAGCCAACAAACTTTGTAAAATCTCTTTATGTATGTACCTTACCTAAATAAAAATTATTATTATTATTATTATTATTATTATAAGTCACAAATACGCATCCTCTGCCTATCTATGACAGAAACGAGTAACACTTAGTGAGCCAGCCAGAGGTTTAGGGCCTATGCAGGAATATCTCTCCACAAACAAAATGTGTTATGGTTAGGATAGTAATTACTTATCCCTTCATTTTGGATATTATTCTCATGACATTGAGATAATAAATATATAAAATAAATTTTTATGGTGAATTATTTAATTATAGATGACAGTAGCTAACTTAAAGATTTTCCCCTCTGCAATGTGGTATAATGTGAAAATCTATGACTTAACAAATGTCACATAAACCACTGTAGGATCTAACGTTGAGTATTTGTAAGTTATTTATATTCACCAATTTGTAGAATTGGTGAAAATTTTCCACACACTGTGCCTGAACCCCGAGTCATTGTCATCTAGAGCCCCACATGCATGACTGAATCACAATTTTTAACAAACTGTGATAAACCCCCATGCACTCCGGCTCTGTCATCTAGTAATTCCACCTCTGACGCTCCTCTTTCAATACACAAAGAAATCACATTATCGTAATATACCAATGAGAAAATCAACACGAGCTGTGATGAGGATTCGAACCTCATGGGAGAACTGTGTGAAACCCTGGTTTAGCTTCAGTGAAAGCCTTGGGAATCCTAGTGGGTACAGTAGTACCCCAGGTTACCACTCTTAGACCATGTCGTGATATAGTCGTTTAGACCATGTGTCTGGGAATACCCAGCGCATACGTTCGAATCCTCATCACGGCTCCTGTGAATTTTCTCATTGATATATAATAATAATAATAATAATAATAATAATAATAATAATACAAATAATAATAATAACAATAATAATAACAATAATAATAATACAATAAAGTCTGTACTTACTAAGGGCAGAGTTTCTCTCATATTCTCAGGACATTTGCAGGGTTCCTCAGCCATGTTGAGTTGTCGTGTGATGAAGGCCAAGCGCTCTTATCAACGTTCACTGATGATTCTTGATCTACAGCTTCCCCACAGGTATCTGCAACAGGAGCTCATTAGAAACGTTTAAGTTTCCTGTAATATATGTGACTGATGTTCAAAATCAAAAGGTTTATTCAGGTAAAAATACATATATAGAAGATGAGTTACAAACATAATGTTGGATCTATAGATAGAGCTAGTACAAATAATGCCTAAAGCCTACGCATAGTGGATTTATAGATAGAGCTGGTGCAAATAATACCTACCTTGAGGCTACCTTGAGGTGCTTCCGGGGCTTAGTGTCCCCGCGGCCCGGTCGTCGACCAGGCCTCCTGGTTGCTGGACTGATCAACCAGGCTGTTAGACGCGGCTGCTCGCAGCCTGACGTATGAGTCACAGCCTGGTTGATCAGGTATTCTTTGGAGGTGCTTATCCAGTTCTCTCTTGAACACTGTGAGGGGTTTGCCAGTTATGCCCCTTATGTGTAGTGGAAGCGTGTTGAACAGCCTCGGGCCTCTGATGTTGATAGAGTTCTCTCTCAGAGTACCTGTTGCACCTCTGCTTTTCAACGGGGGTATTCTGCACATCCTGCCATGTCTTCTGGTCTCATGTGGTGTTATTTCTGTGTGCAGGTTTGGGACCAGCCCCTCAATTATACTTATAGCCTTATATACTTATACTTATAGATATATATATATATCAATTATAGCCCCCCTAAAGCGTACCTAAAGCCTAAAGTACCTAAAATAATACCTAAAGCCTACGCATAGCGTTTCGGACAAGGTTTGGGAAAAAAATGCTTAGCCTAAAGCTTAGTACTAATTGAGATTTAAGAAAATTGTGTTGAAAACGGAAAAAATGGGAAGGGGGAACTTGGCAGAAATCAGCATTTATACAACTTGGTAAACAAACAGTATTGTTTAAAATAGCAAGACATGGGTTGACATTTAGGGGGTAAGGTAGGTTACATGGAGCTTATTAGGTAGTATTTAGTTTTTCTCTTAAACTGATTGAGAGAGGTGCAGCCTTTGACACGATTGCATTCTGGGTCCTTTGATTTGTAGAGCATTTCTAGTTGGGTTAAGGCGCACTCTTGGAATATCAAATAGGTATTTGTTTCTGGTGTGGTGCTCATGGGTTCTGTTACAACCTTCTAGGAAGCATTTAAGGTCAGGAATGACATTACAGTTCAGAGTTTTATATATATAGAGTAAACATGAAAGGATGTGCAGTGACTTAATATCTAACATAATCAAAGATTTGAGTAAGAGTACCGAGTGCTGTCTGGGGCCAGAATTAGATATTGTTCTAATAGCAGTTTTATGTTGAGTAATTAGAAGATGTAAATGATTTTTGGTAGTAGAATCCCAAACACAAATACCATAATTGAGATAAGGATAGATGAGAAAGTAATAGTGTCACCAAGGGCAGGGCGAGGTACATAATATCTAATCTTAGAAAGAATGCCAACAGTTTTAGAAACTTTTTTTGATATATTTAGAATGTGTCCCTGGAAATTTAGCTTGTTATCGATGAGAACACCAAGGAATTTACTATCTACTTTGTTACTAATTTGTATATTGCTTGTTCTTAGATTAATATGATTTAAGGATTTATTACCAAACAAAATATAGAAAATTTTGTTAATGTTACGGGTGAGTTTGTTGGCAGTTAGCCAAAGATGGACTTTATTTAGTTCAGTATTTACTGTAACATTTAGAGCAAGAGGGTCAGGACTGGAGAAAATGAAAGTTGTGTCATCAACAAATAAGATTGGCTTGAGCTGTTGAAAGGCATTTGGAAGGTCATTAATTTAGATGAGAAAGAGGAAAGGGCCAAGTATGCTGCCCTGAGGAACACCAATGTTGATGGGTAAGGTGGGAGAAATAGAATTATTCACAGAAACATACTGGAGCCTGTCAGTAAGGTAAGACTGAAGGGATTGACCTCTGACTCCATAATGATGTAATTTAAGAAGAAGGTTTTGGTGGTTGACAGTGTCAAAAGCTGTGTCAGTGTCAGTGTCAGTGTCAAACTGACACTGGTATTGACGACACTGCTAGACGTATGGTATTAACTGTTGTTTGACACTGGGTCAGTGTCAAAATGTTGTGAAGAGCATGAAAATATGCAAATAATAATAACAGCAATATTAATAATAAATGTGAAAATCCATTGGAGCCGGGGTGAGGATTCGAACCTATGCACTGAGTGTTCCCAGGCACAGGCACTAGACTAGACCATGACATGGTAAAAAGGATTGCAACTTAGGGTACTTCTGCACCCACGAGGATTCTTTGAGGCTTCTACTGCAGCCCGTCCTCCTAAGGTTTCCCATTGTCCAGAAAACGGTAAATTTAAAAAGTCCTCTCCTAACCTACCAGAAGACCCAAAACAGAAAATGGGACAGTACGTTACTTTCGTGAGCCGCTTTCCATTTTCTAGTACGACAATTTTTGGCCTTATCTAACGCATACGATCGATATGTGAGGTTCTTTGTTAGAGGACAGGTTGTCCACTGAAGCCGAAACAGGGTTTCACACAATCCCACAATGGGGAATTGTGTGAAACCTTGATTCGGTTTCTGTGTCTGTTCTTGTAGACCTGCAGTTATCCATAATATTTTCCTACCATCAGTCAGTCAATACAAACCAGTTGTGTTCACTATCATCATCTTATATCATGGTTGTTATGTTAAATTCAAATTTTACTATAATGTACCTAGAAATAATCCTCAAATTATGCTACAATGTATCTGTTGATAATCCTCAAATTTCACTGTAATGTACTTACTAATTTTCTTCAAATTTTCTTACAATGTACCTGTTAATTTTTTCCAATTTTGCTACAAATTACCTAATTAAATTTATCTGTTAGATTACGGACCTGTCCGAAACGCTATGCATGTTAGTGGCTTTACGAGAATGTAAAAACTTCCATGCTATGGACTCGCATAAACCCCACTGTATATATATATATATATATAGCGTATATATATGTATATATGTATATATATATAAAAATATAAATAAATAAATACACTACAGTAGCATTCCAGACTGCACATGGTAACTTTAGCTTTGGGATGCTACATATAAATGCTATAAAAATATATATATTTTTAATTTCAGAGTTGTTGAATTAAGGTATTTTGTAGGATTAAGTATTACTTAGGTTAGCTGCAGAGGCCCTATTGTTTTATAAGTATTGTACAAAGACAGTCATGTATCCTATAACCGGTGTGACGTTATCGTCTCTTGTAAATAAACGCCACGCTATCCAGACCTGTGTTTCCCCTCGAGAGTTCCTCTCAGGTCACGAGCGATCATTTTTCGTTTTCTAACCGTGCTAAAAACGACATTTTATTGTTTTGGGCACGTTTTTAATTACATTTAATATACGTGTTGTGAGAATTTGTAAAGACGAGAATAAAAAGTGAGGTCATAACGTTTTAATAAAACGTGGTTTAAATGTTATGATATAACGTTTTGGAGCAAAGCATTTTAAAACGTTAATTCTAATTATTAATTATTGAAATTATTAGGTATAATTATCTTTGTTGCATTTAGAAAGATAGAGAGAGTGAGAGAGAGAGTGGAGGGGTGAAGGAGAAAGAGGGGAGAGAGATGGAAAAGAGAGAGAGTGGAGGGGAGAGGGAGAAAGAGAGAGATGGAAAAGAGAGAGAGAAAGAGTAAAGAGAGAAGAGATGAGAGAGAGAGAGAGAGAGGGAGTAAAGAGAGAGAAGAGAGAGAGCAAGAGAAGAGAGGGAGGAGAGAGAGAGAGTAGAGAAGAATAAGAGAGAGATAAGAAGGAGAGATAGAGAGATAAGAAGGAGACAGAGAGAGAGATAAGAAGGAGACAGAGAGAGAGATAAGAGGAGAGAGAGAAATATATAAGGAGAGAGAGAGAAGAGGGGAAGAGAGAAGAGAGAGAGAGAAGAGGGGACGAGAGAAGACAGAGAGTGAAGAAGAAGAGAGAGAGAAGAGGAAGGAAAGAGAGAGAGACAGAGAGAGAGAATCTTTATACAGCAAATATCCCCCCGTTTGTAGTAATGCCCAAAACTCCGGAAACGCTGTGTGTACTCACCTAATTGTGCTTGCGGGGGTTGAGCTCTGGCTCTTTGGTCCCGTCTGTCAGTGGCTTTGCAAGAATATAAAAATACCAATCTTATGTAATCTCACATACCTATTGTACCTTCTTTGAAACTGGCCTCCACCACCTCCTCACTTTGCTTGTTCCAACCGCCTACCACTCTGTTTGCAAAAGAAAACTTTCTAATATTTTTTTCGGCACCTTTGTTTCCTTAGCTTGAATCTGTGTTCGTGAAGTTACTAGTTTCAGGAATGCATGTCAATTTGGTCGATTCCTGTTAGTATTTTGTAAGTGGTGGTCATATCACCTCTTTTTCTTCTATCTTTTAGTTTTGGCATGTTTAATGCATCTAGTCTCTCCTCGTAACTCTTATTTTTAAGTTATGGAAGCCATTATGGTAGCCTCTGTTTAACGCAACAGTAAAATGTGTACTTGGATGAAAAAACGATTCTTCGCGGCAGGGGATCGTATTCCAGGGACCATAGGATTAAGGACCTGCCCGAAACGCTACGCGTACTAGTGGCTCTACAAGAATGTAACAACTCTTGTATATATCTCAAAAAAAAAAAAAAAAAAAAAAAAAAAAAAAAATTGTAACATACCGTTGCAACTTTTCCAGTTTCTTTATGTGCTTCTTGAGATTTGGGCACCATACAACTGCTGCATATTCCAATTTCAGTAGTTCTTTTTCACATACTTTGTAAGTTGTGTCTGGTTTATTTTCTCCAATTCCACATTCCATAATATGGCATGTGCACTTACCTAGTTGTACTTACCTAGCTGTGCTAGCGGGGGTTGAGATCTGGCTCTTTGGTCCCACCTTTCAATGGTCAATCAACTAATACACAGGTTCCTGAGCCTACTGGGCTCTATCATATCTACACTTAAAGCTGTGTATTGAGTCAGCCTCCACCACATCACTTCCTAATGCATTCCATTTGTCTACTATTCTGACACTGAAAAAAA